AAAGGAAACCATGTCTCTCTATCTTACCTGTTATGTTTTTCCAGAAAGAAAAAACATAGAGGAAAAAACAAAAACAATTTCCTCTCGCCTTTTTCTTCCTCCTTCTGCCCTAAGTGTCAATTTCCCCACTTCCCTCCAAACCTTGAAAGCGATCTACAAAAGAAAACTTTTTTTTTCTCTATAACTTACCTCGTGTTTATCTGTTCCTCTGGGTTTTCTCTTGTTTCCTCCCGAGGCACCCCGGTGTCAGAGTTTATCCTCCCTAGTTCTATTTTGCTTAGATACACATGTCTGCTCGCTTTTTTGCACTCTTAAGCACCCAAACATTTTAACACATTTTTTCCGCTCGACGGCAAGTTGAAGCTTTTCTCCAGAATTAATTGTTCCCACACAGTGGAGAATGACGCCACCATGAAGCTGCTTTCTTACTACATTTTTGTTTCCTTATCTTTTTTAAATGCCTACCTTCCTTTTTTGTGGAAGGTGTTTCCCCTTGTTTTCAGTTTCTGCAGCATTTAATAGTCCATTTTGCTACAGGTTTTGAACAGTTTTTGACTCAAAATGTTTCTGTTTCTGACTGAGCCTGAATCACGCTCACAGACTTATTATTTTTTTCTGCTCACTTTTCCCGAAATTCAAATTTTCGTCAGTTTTCTCCCACTTCATCTCAATTCGTTGTGTTTTCCATTTATCTTATTTCAAGAGTTATCGCGTCGTTTTCAATCAGAAACATGTCATTGAATTGCGCAGCTCTACACCAGAAAATCTCTGTCGAGTCTGCTCTTGGGAGAGGGCAGACAGCACTGAAGTAATTTCAGCAGTTTTCAGCTTGGAATGTCTAAGAAATATTAGCCTGACCCAGGTAACGACGTGTCTGCGACAAAGTGCTTCTTTTATTGAAGAGGACGTAAAAATCAACCCGCTTTGATTATATGAATACTCTTTCTTCCGCTTGTCTTAATTTACTCGTTCAAGAAGTTCGCTGACTGATTTTTAACATGGTGTGGGTTACCCTGGTTCCGAATCCTTAATGGGGAGCTCTAGAACTTGGGGCGGTTTGGAGAATGAGAGATTTCAACCC